TAAGATTTATCTATTAATTATGTATAAAGGGTTCTTCCTGCATGTGTCCCTGCAGGCCAGAAGAGGGCACCAGATCTCATTATAGATGGTTGTGAGCCACCATGTCGTTGCTGGGAATTGAACTCAGGACCTCTGGAAAAGCAGTTAGTGCTCTTAACCTCTGAGCCATCTCTCCAGCTCCCAAACTGATAATGTTTATAATTGATATTGCATAAATCCCAGCTAGGTTAATTATCGCCTCATTTAATTCTTTAATTTTTATTTTTAAATATTTATTTATTTATTTAGGTTTTCAAGACAGGGTTTCTCTGTAGCTTTGGAGTCTGTCCTGGAACTCACTTCATAGACCAGACTGGTCTTGAACTCACAGAAATCTGGCAGCCTCTGTCTCCCAAGTGCTGAGATTAAAGGCGTGTGCCACCACTGCCCAGTTTATTTATTATTTTGCTGGCAGAATTGGACATTATTTTAATTAGGAAGATAAGTGTACAGGAAGTTCACACAGAAGAAAAGTTCATACAGACACAGGACTAAGTATCAAGTTGTACTACTTGACCTCTTGGACACTGGTTGTTTTGTTTTCTTGTGAGATCTTAACGCCACACACAGGGCTTGATGATGACGTAGCCATATATGTCAGAGTTCAGAGTCTCCCAATCCAGAATATTAGGATCCAGAGTAGAACCTTGGTACACAGATTTAATGTCTTCTGGGGTCAACACAGAGTCCTACATGTACAAATCCCCAATCTCTCCCACAAAGGACTGGGCCTTCTCAAAACCTCCTCCATAGGTATCCTAGGACAGTACTGGGTTGAGCTTTCACAGCGTGTTCCTTCTGCAGATCCCTTTTCACCCAAGGTTTTCCACTGACCCAAAATTCAGCAACGCCAGAAGAGGACTCCCAACTAGTGCAGAAATGCACCAGAGAAGTGAATTCTTCCATACCACGGAAAGTTACTTTTGAATGCCCAATGTACAGTTTGTATTCTCCAACTCTTTCTTTATACATTAGTAGCTTATTTTTTTAAATATTTTTTTAAATATTTATTTATTATGTATACAATATTCTGTCTGTATGCCTGAAGGACAGAAGAGGGCGCCAGACGCCCCTACAGATGGCTGTGATCCACCACGTGGTTGCTGGGAATTGAACTCAGGACCTTTGGAAGAGCAGACAATGCTCTCAACCACTGAGCCATCTCTCCAGCCCCCTTTTTTAAATATTTTTATGATTTATTTAACTTTGGTTAAATTGCATTGGTGTGAAGTGTCAGATTCCCTGCAACTGGATCTTCAGACAGTTATGAGCTATCATGTGGGTGCTGGGAATTGAACCTGGGTCCTCTGGAAGAGCAGTCAGTGCTCTTAACCACTGAGACATCTCTCCAGCCCCCACATTAGTAGCTTATTGTGTCTGCTCTAATTGTTCCATTTTTGTTGTGTTTTTTTGTTTTTGAGACAGGGTTTCTCTGTGTATCTCCGTCTGTCCTGGAACTCCCTCTATAGACCAGGCCAGCCTCAAACTCACAGAGATCTGCCTGCCTCTGCCTCCTGAGTGCTGGGATTAAAAGCATGCACCACTGCCGCCTGACAATTGTTCCATTTTAAACCATCCACTGTGGAATCATAAAAGATCTAATTCCCTTCATTGTAATTGTGTTCCCCATTTTTTAATGTGGGAAAAACCCTTTTTCTTTTGTTTTGTTTTACAAGACAGGGTTTCTGTGTGACTTTAGAGCCTGTCCTGGATCTAGCTCTTGTAGACCAGGCTGGTCTAGAACTCACAGAGATCCGCCTGCCTCTGCCTCCCGAGTGCTGGGATTAAAGGCATACGCCACCACCGCCCGGCTCCCTTTAAGAACTCTTAAGTTGTCTCACCAAATCCATCAACAATGACAGTGAAGCATAAGGCTGGCCATCACTGCACAACACATCTGGGCGGAGAACACAGGCTGTGCACAGTTTGGCTGAGGGGTTCCGTAGAAAGCCTACAATCCATGGGGGACAAGGAGCTTAGGAGTCAGCCCTCTGAAAGCTGGACACAGGGGACTGCGTGACAGGAGGGAAGTGAGAGCTCAGAGCTGCCTGAAGGCAAAGCTGGCTGGGGATGAAGGGCTAACCCCGGCAGCATCTAGGCGACTGTGGGGTTTGGGGCTTGTGGGGATTGCTGTAGAGAGGCTGCAACAGGAAAATCCCAGACTAGCTCAGAGGTTTGGGGAAAGGAAGGGAAAGCCAGCAGTGTGGTGACTCTGGCAGGTGCAGCTCTGGTGGGTGCCAGTGGCTACAAAGCCACAGGCAAGAGGCTCTTACATTAACCCAATGCCCCAAAAGTTGGGAGCCAGATGAAGCGTTAATCTAATTAATTTTTAACAAACAAACAAACTAAAATATCAGAATCTTTTGCACAGAATCATACCACCACCACCCAGTCTCCTGCCTACTTTTTCAGGCTCATCTATTTATTTATGTATGTATGTATGTATGTATTTATTTTGTGTATAGTATTCTGCCTGCATACATGCCTGCACGCCAGAAGAGGGCACCAGATCTCATTACAGATGGTTGTGAGCCACCATTGTGGTTGCTGGGAATCAAACTCAGGACAGGAACCAAAAGCTACGGAGAAACCCTGTCTCGAAAATCCAAAAAAAAAAAAAACAAAAAAAAATTAGGACCTTTAGACGAGCAGGCAGTGCTCTAAACCACTGAGCCATCTCTCCAGCCCTTTAGCCTTATCTTTAGTCAAGCTCCATGCTCTCCAATTTCCTCCTGTATGTTCTGATTAGCTTGCAACTTATACTGTGCTCATAACCACCTGGTTTATAATAGTCCACTCTGGTATGTCCCATGTAGATACCACCTGGTACTATGGACTGATCCCAGACCCTGTGTCGGGGCAAGCACAGCACCACTGGGCTACATCCCCAGATTACATTTCTTTTTGTCTTTTTTGCATGTATATGGATGTCAGAGACTGACACTGGGTGTCTTCTTCAATCATCATTCTTCACCATATATAAAAAACATTGATTTTTAAGTCTATTAGCTTTGCTTTTAATGGTTCATTATTCTTTTTTTTAATATTTATTTATTATGCATACAATATTCTGTGTGTATGTCTGCAGGCCAGAAGAGGGCACCAGACCTCATTACAGATGGTTGTGAGCCACCATGTGGTTGCTGGGAATTGAACTCAGGACCTTTGGAAGAGCAGGCAATGCTCTTAACCACCGAGCCATCTCTCCAACCCCTGGTTCATTATTCTTACTTTATATTATGTGCATTGGTATTTTGTCTGCAGGTATGTCTGTGTGAATGTTGGATTTTTTGTTTGTTTGTTTGTTTGTTTGTTTTTGAGACTGTTTCTCTATAGCTTTGGACCCTGTCCTTATAGATCAGGCTGGCCTTGAACTCACAGAGAGCCACCAGCTTCTGCCTCCTGAGTGGGGATTAAAGGCTTGTGCCACCACCACCCAGCGATGAATGTTGGATTCTACTGCAGTTGGAGTTCCAGACAGTTGTGAGCTTCCATGTGGGTGCTGGGAATTGAACTCAGGTCCTCTGGAAGTACAGTCAGTGCTCTTAACCACTGAACCATCTCTTCAGTCCAGTGTATTAGGGTTGTTTTTTTTTTTTTTAATTAATTAGGTACACAGAGTTCTGCCTGTAACCCTGCAGGCCAGAAGAGGGCAACCAGCTTTCATTACAGACGGTTTTGAGCCACCATATGGTTGCTGGGAATTGAACTCAAGACCTCTGGAAGAATTCAGTGCTCTTAACCTCCGAGCCATCTCTCCAGCCCTAGTCAGTGCTCTTAACCTCTATCCGGTCCACCATTTTATATAGGGATCTTAATCCAGTCCTTACACTTGCACAGCAAGCGCTTTACCAGGTGAGCCATTTCCCAGCCCCTATATTTTCTTTTACAAATATCTATAGTACAGATTCTATAACTTCAGATAATTTATTTCCGTTTGGAATTTCACATTTAACATCACGATTAGCATTTATTTGATTACAGTCTCACTGCTATACAGAGTCACTTAGCAGCAGAAACTTCTCTCTCACTCGTTATTACTGACTCTCCACAGAACCGAATATGCCAGGTACACTAAGTGTTAACTAAATAACCTCGAGGCAAACTGGGTCAGAAATAAGAATTTGGAGAGGTCATGTATTACTCAGTCAAACACACGAAATACAGAACACCCGACAGTCCGATTTTGTTTTTGAGACAAAATCGTTGTAGCCCTGGCTGCCCTGAAGTTCCTTGCACTCACACAGATCAGCCTTCTCCGACTTTCTGGCCGCTGGGATTAAAGGGTGTGTCCCTCCACGCCTGGCCTGGAAACAGATTTGTGACCAATGAGAGATCAACAGTACGTGGCTCACAACCGTCTCACGGGACACTGATGAATTTCTTCCATAGTCGTCTTTCTTCAGGAAGTCGCTCCCTTCCAGCCCGGGCTCTCTGGAAACTAGGTCTGGAACCAGGTCCCCAGCCCACAGCGCCCGGACCGCGCCTTTGTCCAATAGCTGGAGAGCACAGGAGCCGTAGGCACCGTCTCTTCCGCTTACGTAGACAGGCGGCGACCGGAAATAAGTGGGCGTCCCGGAAGTTGGAGGGCGTGTCCTGCTAGTTTGGCTTCCTCAACATGGCGGCGCCCTTGTGTGTGGAGGTGGAGTTCGGGTGAGTGAGAGCTGGGGCGTCGTGGGGCTGGAGCGAAGCTATAGCTCCTGAAAGTCTGAACTCCCTCTACTTTCCGAGGCGACTGTCATTCTCCGAGAGCTGGGCCACCCGCCTGGCCTCTGACAGGCGCGGTCTCCCTGGGCGACTAGGCCGTAAGACCGAGAATAGAGGCGCACACGGGCAGGGAGGTGCGATGACAGTTCCTCCTCGGTCGGTAACATGTGGGACTCGGAGGCGTTGATAATGAGCAGGTCATCTTCCAGCGTGTTTTACCAGTGACACTCCGAGCCCGACCCACCTTGCCTGGCATTTGGGCTCCTAAGGGGAACACGAGTCTCCCTGTTCTTCCAATTCTGTCTTCGGGCCGCAGTTCCCGCCTACTTTCTACTTGGATGACGGTGTGGCCAAGATAGCGCTCCTTTCTTCTTCTTCTTCTTCTTCTTTTTTTTTTTTTTTGTCAAACGTGAGAGAGTTTTAATCAGACCCGAATCGCTTTCCAAGTAGTTGGATGAGTGCCTTTTGCAGATCTGGAGCCCAGATACCAACCACGGAGGGAGCGACCAACATTGGCAGTATAGTGTGCCCAAGATGAAACGTTCCACAATTGGGATGCACATCATTCCTTGAAGGAACACAGGGAAAATTGAAAATCTCCTCAAATCCCTACTTTGTTCTTCCAGCACACAGAAGGTCTGTCATGGGCTCAAATGTGCAGAAGACAGACTTTGGATTTGAGAACAGACAAAGGATTGAGGCCTCTAGAGATGGGTGGGTGGTTGTTTTAGAATCCTATGGAAAAGCCAGTGTGTGTGTGTGTGTGTGTGTGTGTGTGTGTGTAGATGAACAAGCTAAGTAAGGGAAAACTCTAGGATAGAATCATAAAGTTCTTTCCCAATGCCTTTCTTTCCATTGGATGCCCCCTGTTCCTTTAATGTTTTCCCTTCACTGAGTAGTTCATTCGCCAGTCATTTATTGAGTGCCTACCATGTGCCAGGCAGTGAGCCAGACACAGAGGATACAAAGATAAATAGCACTCTGTCTGTTCCCTCCAGCGGTCAGCATTTCTGTCCCTTGGAACGGGGTAGTCTCATGAATGTTAAGTGCAGTTTAATTGATGATATTGTCTGGCCGCTTGGATCCAATTAGAACTACATTGATCTGGCCTCCTGACTGTTTTACCTTTCTGCCCGGTCTTAACAGAACTGAAAAGGAAGAAGCTCCAGGCTCCCAGGGTTAATGTTTCTCCATAGTGAGGCATTCTTCAGATGTATTCTGTCTACAGACACTGTGCTGGCAACAGTCAGGAAGTCGCAAAGTAAATAAGACTCTTGCCCTCCGGAGTTCACAGATCTACACCGGCGCTTCCTTTCTAGCTTTGGCCTTTCTCGCTCTAAGAGCAATATTGAGCTCCAGCAAGACTGGACAGCATTCTTTTCCCACCTGTCCATTCCCTTCCACACCTCCCCACATAAGTGATCCATCAGAATTGCAGCTTCACAGGGCATGGTGGCTTATGCCTATCAACCCAACACTACTTGGAAGGCAGGGGCAGTTGGATCTCTAATTTTGAGACCAGGCTGAGCTATATAGTGAGAGATCCTCCATAATGAATGAATGAATGAATGAATTATACACACACACACACACACACACAAACATTGCAGAAAGGCTATCTGTCTGTCTGTCTATGCTTGCCAGACCCAGAAGCCTTTCCTCTGTCCTCCCAATTTGGTTTTATTTGGAGACAAGAGCTCATGATATAGCGTGTGCCCCTGCATGTCATCTGATTTTTTTTTTAACCTCTGACCTTTGATTAACTCTGTCACTTGACAGATATGCTTCCCCTTTTACTATGAATCCTGAGAAGATTTTTCAGAGGGACTACAGTGCCCATTCTTTCCTCACTGGTCCTAGAAGTCTAGAAATTGTTGCCTCCGAACCCAGAATAAATGTGATCCTTTTGGTGCTACCAGCTTTGTTAGGTTTAGAAGGCTTTCTATATTTCGTGTGTGTGTGGGGTGGTGGGTGGTAGTTTCAAGACTTTTTTTTTTTTTTTTAATGTAACAGCCTTGGCTGTTGTGGAATTCACTCTGTAGACTGCCCCAGAACTCACGGAGTTCTCTGTCTGCCTCAGTCTCCTTAGTGCTGGGGCTGAAGGTGTGCACCATCCCGTCTGGTTCATCTCTTTCTTGTTAGAACCAATTCTGCCATCTTTTGGCATACCTTCAGAACTGTTATTAATAGAGGTGGTTTTGTTTTGTGTTGTGTCTTTTGAGGCCTGGTATCTATGATGGCCTATATCTCTGGACTCAGTAGATAGTGGAAAAAGTCTTAGAACTTCTGCCCCTTCTGCCTCTGTCTCCCCAGTGCTGCAATTACAGGTATGTACCATCACGCTCAGTTTATGCAGTACTGGGGATGGAAGCCAAAGCTTCCGGCATGCAATGCAAACACTCTACCAACTAGACTATACTTCCCAGCCCTAGCAGAACATGTTTTCAGTACATGTAGAATTGGAAGTATAGTACAGGTGTGTTTGGAGCACCTCCTTTCCAGGCTGAAATGACCTAGATTTGATTCCCTTTCCATGAGTTTGGGAGGTATTGGAAAGGCTGGATACACCAGTAAGATCAGAGAAGTAGTCATATTCATTGGTGTGGCAAATATTTTTTAAATTTCTGCTCTATGCCAGGCCTTATTTCATTTTGAGCCTATTTGTGCTCTATAAGGTCGATGGAGTCTAAACATGGATGGGTAGTTGGTTTTTTTTGTTGTTGTTGTTGATTTGGTTTTAGTTGGTTGGTTGATCATTGAAGCAGGGTTTCATGTAACACAAGCTGGCCTTAAACTCAGTATGTACCGGAAGATGACTTTGAATTCTTGTTTTTCCTGCTTCTACTTCCCAATTATAGGCATGTGATACCATGCCTAGCTTTTAGATAGATACATGTTTTGTTTTTTTTTTTTCCGAGACAGGGTTTCTCTGTGGTTTTGGAGCCTGTCCTGGAACTAGCTCTTGTAGACGTGAGGTTGGTCTCAAACTCACAGAGATCCGCCTGCCTCTGCCTCCCAAGTGCTGGGATTAAAGGCGTGTACCACCACCACCCGGCCTAGATAGTTTTAAAGCAACTAGAAAAAGTGACTGAAATGTAGACCTGTCACTGATATTAGCGGACACATGCACCGGGAATTGAGGTATTTAGAGAATATGGACAGATCTTAGTTAAGACTGAATGGCAGGCAAATCCTATGAAACAGAGGACCTGGCCTAAGGTCTCTGGGGCTTAAACAGCCCCCATGTCTACCTCTCTGAATCAGTCCTGAAGTTAGGTGTGCACTGTCTCTCACTCCAGACAAGCTGACAGGAAGGAGCACTACCCTCCCTCCCCTGGGCCTCACTCACCCAGCAGTGATGGGTCACTCAAAGCCTCACTGGTGCGCTCTTCATCTGTTTGTAGGAGGAAAAACAGGCTTGGCCTTGGAGCCTGGCACTACCAGCTTTGGCCACTCTTGATTATTTGCCTCCATTCCCACCCCACTTCTCTGACTCTCAAATCCTGAACTCCCCGCCTATCACCCTCCCCCAGCCCAGCTGCCGCATGTGCCAACCCCTGCCCAGCAGAAAGTGAGGCTCTTAGAAGGGGATAAATGGAGGTCTGTGTGGGCTTGCAGCTGAGGTGGCCCTGCGCACAGCCACAGATGGGCCTTTGCTCCCCCTCCACGGTTCTGCATCAACAAAGCGTGACCTTGTTTAGATGACAGTCCCCCATGTTTCCCCCATGACAATGTTTGCCTTGCCTTTGCCTCCTAGTGGGCTGCCTCAGGACATCTCTGTTCCCCGAGATTGGGAAAGGGTGGTGGGGAGGGAAATACCACATCCATCAAAAGTCTGTTAGGGCCTTCTCAGTTCAGACAACATGAAGTCTGAGATGGGCATTAGGAAATCAGAAGAAACAGTGTGGAACACTGAAGGCCCGACTGCCCACACCAGTAGTCCTGGTTTCCGAACTCGGCTTTGAGCATCTCTGCTGTCTTGACTATCCCTTGACCAGATGCTGGGATGCAGAAACAAGCTGAACTCTGCCCTTGGGGGACTTTTTGAAAGGGCTCTGGGTTTACTTACCTTCTCTGGGCTTCAGTCCACTTTTTCATACGGAATTAACAATGTCTGCCTCCTTCCTCCTTTGCTGGGATGGCCAAACGACGAAATGGGATGAGGGTCATCTTGTAACTGACGAGGTGATGTGAACAGCTGTACTTAGTGCTGAGCCCAGTGGGTTCTCTCTACCCCCAATGCTGTGATGTGTGCACAGAAGTGCACAGAGGTGAACAGGAGCAGGGTTATTTCTACCCTTACCTGGCTAGAAATGCACAGGCTCTCCAGGGCACCCTAGAAGGGCAGCTCAGCAATTTTAGAAGTAAAATCAAAGCTTGTAAAGGTGGATACTTGGCCAGGGGCTGACTGGCAAGCAGACGTAGAGCCTGATTTCCTCCTTGGGACTGGCAGCTCTGAAGCCTGGGTTCTACTGCTGTGTACTAAACTATCTCTCAAGAAAGCAAAGTCAAGGAGGCTGTAGGCTTGGGCTCTCCACTAATAGTGGAGACTGTTTACATCCTCTTTACCACGGCACAAAGTCACTGTAACTAGGCTGTTCCTGAACCTTGGTCTTTGCGTCTCATCTTTCCTCCCAGCCATGTTCCCAGTTCAGGTTGTCAGGCTCGTCTCAGTCCTGTTAGCAGTAACTTACACAGCTGTCTGTCTTTGGCCCTCTTTTGCAGAGGTGGTGCGGAGCTCCTGTTTGATGGAGTGAAAAAACATCAAGTCACCTTGCCTGAGCAAGAGGGACCCTGTGAGTATTGGATTCCTGGCTGCTTTCTGGGGCCACTGGGCACGAGTAGGAAAAGTTAGGATTGTCCAGGCCAGTAGCAAAGGAAGAAGAAACTGGAAAGTATGTTTTCCCTCCTTGCTGGGCCTGGCCAGCTCTGCAAGAAGAGGTGGGAGATTGATCTTCACATGGGGAATGGCTGGAGCAGTGGCTCATCTATGAGGAGTACTGAATGCTATTGCAGAGAACCCAGGTTTAGTTCCCGGCACCCACACATCTGTAACTCCAATTTCAGGGGATTTAAGGCCCTCTGGTCTCTGCGCACCAGGCACAAATAAGGTACACTGACCGACACGTGCAGGAAAAACACTCATACAAGCCAGATGTGGTAGTATACACCTTAAATCCACATTTGGGGAAGCAAAAGCAGGAAGTCTAGGTGGATCTCTGAGTTTTGACGCTAACCTGTTCCACATAGAGAGTTCCAGGCTAGCCAGGGCTACACAGTGAGACCTTGACGTGTGTGTGTGTGTGTGTGTGTGTGTGTGTGTGTGTGTGTGTGTGTAGAGGGGGGCTCAAGACAGTATTTCTCAGCCCTGGCTGTCCTGGAACTCTCAGAGATCTGCCTGCCTCTGCCTCCCAAGTGCTAGGATTGAAAGTGTGTGCCACCATTGCTCAGTTTGAGACCTTGTCTTAAAACAAAACAAATAGGAAAACTCCACTTATATAAAGAAAATGAATAACTCTTTTAAAATATGCTGGGCATGGTAGCACACAGCTTTTATCCAAGCACTCAGTGGCAGAGGCAGGAGGATCTCTGTGAGTTTGAGGCCAACCTGGTCTACCCAGCAGGCTCCAGGACAGCCAGAGAGTGACCCTGTCTCAAAAAAAAAAAATTAAATTAAAAAGAGGACTCAGCAAATAAAGATACCGTAACACACACATGTGCATAATAAAGTAAACGTAATAAAAAAGCGGGGAAGAAAATTGTTCTAGGCGGTAGTGGCACACACCTTAAATCCCAGTGCAGGCATACTGATGCTCACTTTTTTTTTTTTTTCACCACTATACTAATGAGGACACTTTTTTGTTTGTTTGTTTGTTAAATATTTATTTATTATGTACACAATGTTCTGTCTGAGTGTATGCCTGTAGGCCAGAAGAGGGCACCAGACCTCATTACAGATGGTTGTGAGCCACCATGTGGTTGCTGGGAATTGAACTCAGGACCTTTGGAAGAGCAGGCAATGCTCTTAACCACTGAGCCATCTCTCCAGCCCCTGTTTGTTTGTTTTTTAAAACATGGTTTCTCTGTCCCAGAACTCACTCTGTAGACCAGGCTAACAAGGTTTCACTGCCCTGGAACTCATTCTGTAGACCTGCTAACTTTGAGCTCCCTGAGATCCTCCTGCCTCTTGCCTCCCAAATGGTGGGATTAAAGGCGCGATGCTCACTTTAAATCCTAGCACCCTAGAGGCAGAGGCAGCTAGATCTCTGAGCTCAAGGCTAGCCTCATCTACATAGGACAGTCAGGGCTACATAGTGAGACCTTGTCTCCAAAGAGAATTTAAAATACCTGTTTGGGCTGAAGGTGTAGCTTAGGTGACGATTTGCTTAACATGCATAAAGTCCTTTGTTCCATCCCCAGCACTGAATTAACCAGGCCTAAAACTAGGTGTGGTAGTGTAACCCTGTAATGTCACCACTCAGGAGACAGAGGCAGATGACTAGAAGTTCAAAGTTATGAAGAGTTTGAAGACAGCCCTGGAATACATAAGAGACTACATGCAAAATAAAATACCACAAGTTATAGTTTACTTCCTGTTCTTAAAAAACGATTCCCGGGCGGGTTGGCAGAGCCTGCCAGGAGAAAGCAGCTACAGGAGGGCACGCGCCGCGCCCACGGTGGCGGCAGGTAACAGACACGTAAACACAGGAAATAGCCATAAGTATTTATTAAGGAAGAAGGAGAAAGAAAGACAGAGAAAAGAGATAAAAGAAGAGAAAAGAGATAAAAGAAGAGAGAGACAGAGAAAACGCGTGCGCAAGCCAAGGAAGCAGAAAGAGGAAGGGTCCCAAGATGGCAACGGGCAGGTCAGAGGTAATGGGAGTGGGCGTGACTAGGGCAGGGACCGAAAGAATAACACTTCCTCTTTTATTTATTTTTTATAGACATTGATTTTAGGCCTGCATGTATTTCTGGGTGAGGGTGTTGAGTCCCCTGGAACTGTGGAGTTAGACAGCTGTGAGTCACCATGTGGGTGCTGGGAAGTGAACCTGGGGGTTTATTTCCTCTTAAGGTTTGCTTGAAAGAAAAAAGTGCACCCATTCACAATTCTGTCCCGTGTCACTCACTAGACACCCAGCCAGTGTCACTTGAGTAGTACTCATTTATCCCCCTTGTTAGCGGTGATGCCTTCTTTGTTCTGCTTCCTGCTTGTGCTTAACCCAAGAAGTAGCTGCCATTTCCACTGGTTGAACCAGGAGCTTTCTCTGTGTAGCCCAGGCTGTCCCTTTTCCTCTGCTGCACCATCACAGGCAAGCCCCACTCCTTCCTACTCAAGTCAACTTAAAAGGTAGCTGGCCAGGGAGGGCAGGAGCTGAGCAGCAGCTCCTGGGTGCTTTAAACTGCTTAGCATGCATTTCACAGCCTCTCTGGGGCCAGCTGTTCCTTTCTCTGCTCTCCAGGCCTGTTTGCTGATCCCTTTCCTACCTCCTCCTCTCCCCTCCCTCCCAGTCCCTGTGCAAAATTGCTTTTGAAAAGATCCACTTTCTGCTTAATTAAACAATGAGGAGCGTCCCCTCACACATCTGTAAACCTCCTTCTGAGGCCAGTTTAGCCCACAAACTGCTCCATTCTTACCCTCATTCACTTGTAAATGGAGCCTCTGAGGTTCCCCCACCCCTCTTCTCTTTCATTCCACCCTTGCCAGCTCTTTCTTCTCCCCTTTCGCTGAGGCCTGGGGTGGGAATCCCAGAAGAGCCAGAGCCAGTACACTTGATAGGGAAGGGACAGTTTAACTTATGGACAAGATTTAGGGGCCCAGGTGGAGGTGAGAAAATAAATACATTTGTTGTCATGGGCCTTGTGCTCCAGCAGACCCAGGGGACAGGAATGGCAGAAGACACACTTCACACGGAGCAGCCCTTGTCTCCTGTGTGTTTAGAGGGGCCGAATGAGGCTCTGCTGCAGCAGCAGGGGCTGCATCTCTTCAGCTCGGAGGGGCTGTACAGACGCTCTAAGGCGGTGCTCCCAGCCTTCCTGATGCTGCCACGTGGGAGCCCCCAACCACAGTTATTTCATTGCTACTTCTTAACTGTAATGTTACTGTCATTGTGCATTGTAATGTAAATATCTGATCCCCAAAGGGATGGTGACCCACAGGTTGAGAATACGGGCCCTCAGGAGCCCTGCCAGTGTAGGCTGTCAGTATCTCCTAAGCAGGAAAGGTCTACTGGGGCAAGGGATTCTGGGTGGAGGTTCCATTTCTTTCTTATTTTATCATACAAGGCTGCCCAAGACCCTTTTCCGGCCAAGTATATAATGTAGTTTGAGTATATTCCTCCACTTTTGTGACGCCCCTCCCCCAAGTGTTTTTTAAGGTAGGTTCTCGTGGAACCCAGGCTGGCCTATAAACTCGCTGTATAGCCAGGGATGACCTGATCTGCGTCAGCCTCGCACTGCTAGGATTACTGAGTTCAGCACCAAGTCCAGCCTAGTGAGAGGTTTCGTGCTTCACTCGAATGTGCACACCAAGGTTCCTGTGCCACAGCCACCTTTATTTAGGTCAGGACTCTGGCAGGATAAGGAATCAAGACTTGAGTACACAGCTTAGACACCCATCTGTGGAGTGTTCACTGTGTGTTCTGCTAGTGTTTTGCCTTAATCCTCACAGCAACCCTTTAGAGTGTGGTTTATTATCCACGCTGGTCAGAATAAATGGTGCCAGTACACTGAGGTGAAGTGACTGGCCGAGGCTCTCTTGCCCTCAATGTAAGCCTCTCTATTTGACCTTTAACCATCTAACACAAAGCAGCAGCTCCTCTCCCTGCTGTCCCCTGATGGGCCAGTCAGGTCTCTTGCACTGGAAACCTTGCTTTAGGGCACTTCTTCCCCAGCACTGATTACATGGCTGGCTATGGCATGCACAGCCTTGGAATGTGAATCTTCCCACACAGCCTGCCCCAGGAGCTAGACCAACCTTTGGCATCTTACAGATCCAAACACCTAAAATGGGAGGAAGATGGTGGGAGGAATGGCATGTGCTTGTAACCGCAACGGTGGTGGGAAGCTGAGACAAGAATATTGTCTGAGGCAGGACCCAGGCCAGCCTGAGCAACCTGGGAAGGAAGACCAGTGTATGGGCCCCCCTTCCTTCCTTCCTTCCTTCCTTCCTTCCTTCCTTCCTTCCTTCCTTCCTTCCTTCCTTCCTTCCTCCCTTCCTCCCTCCCTTCCTCCCTTCCTTCCTTCTTTCTTTCCTTCCTTCTCTCTCTCTGTTTTTCTTTCTTCCTTTCTTTCCTTTTTCATTTTGTTTTTCTAGACAAGGTTTCTCTGTATAGTCCTGACTGTCCTGGAACTCGTTCTGTAGACCAGGCAGGCCTTGAACTCATAGAGATCTACCTGCCTCTGCCTCCCGAGTGCTGTGAGTAAAGGTGTGCACCACCGCCTCCCTGCTATAACCTCTCTTGTTTCTGTTGCTTTCTTCTGGCTTCCAATGAGCACATATCATATCCCACAGAAAGCCCCAGCACTACCTGGTTTGTGGTACACCTCTCTCTAAGGCTAGGGTTCTGGGCGATGGGCAGAGCATGTAGAAAACCAACTTGTTTGAGAGTCAGTCCAGAGGAGATAGCTTTTTCCCCTGGATTCAGGAGTAATTGATAGTCTAGGCACAACTCCAAGACTGTCTTCTTATTTGATCCTTATAATAACGCATTTTCAAAAAAGTAATTTTATGCATATGGGTATTTTGCCTAGATATAAATCTGTGCACCATGTACATGATGCCTGGTATCCACAGAGATCAGAGCAGGGCATCAGATTCCCAAGAACTGGAGTTGTAGATGATTCTGAAATGCCATATGGGCAATGAAAGTCAGACTTGGGCCCTTTGCAAGAGCAGCTAGTGCTTGCTTTAACTATCTCTTTAGATCTACATTCTTTGTTCAGAATTTTAAAAGTTTTATTTTTGTATATGTGTGTGTCTATTCGTGAATGTGTATGAGTGTGTGTGTGTGTCAGAGAGAGAGAGAGAGAGAGAGAGAGAGAACCTAACAACTCTGGTCCTGGAAGAGTAGCAAGCACTCTTACCTGCTGAGCCTTCTCTCCAGCCCAATAATGATGCAGTCTTACCTCTTTTTTTTTTTTCTTTTTTAAAGAAAGCTGAGGCTCTGAGAAGTCCCTTTCTAAGGTCATATGACTAGGAAGGAATGGATTCCCTTTCAAAACTAAAACTGGCAGGCATGGTGATGCAGACCTGCAGCTCCAGGATTGGCTGGGATTCCTTAGCCACACAGCAGGTTTATGGTCTACCCAGCTACTTGAGACTCTTGTCTCAGGTAAACCATTATGACCGTGACCTCCCACTGGCATCTTGGGACAGAGCTGTGAGAGCAACATCCCTGAGCCCTCAGACACCACTCTGGGAGCAGCATGGGAGTGCCATGTTGTGGTGGGGCAGAGAAGCTTGGAGACACACACCTTGTCAGGGTCACTAGGCTTTAGGAGGCGGGAGCAACCTCATTTGGAGCAGGCTTTCCTAGGGGCTCTAATGCTGTTCCTCCTGCCTTGTCCTTTCTGCTGCCTCGAACCTGCCAGTTGCGCAGTGCCTCAGCTCTTCCCATATGTGCTTCCTTCTGTCCAGAACACTTCCCCCACCCAAGCCCATTCATCCTTCAGGCCGAAAGCTTCAGTGTTAACACTCTTGGAAAGGCTCTTCCTGCTCCCAAAGGAGTTAGCACGCACCACAGCTAATTAAGTAATGTCTGCCACCTCTGCTGCCCTCAAAGGAAGGTTCTGTGTTCATCTTGCTGGCCACCATCACCCTAGAGCCATCACAGGATAGTTGCTCAATAAATGTTTGTCCTGTGCATGGCGCCTGCAGGAGGGAGACCATGCTCAGGAGGAGTGGGAAGGAAGGAAGATAGTGGGAAGACGAAAGGAAGGTTCCTTACCCACATCTATCCCAGAGCCACCCCAAGCCACCATCCCTGACTCTGCTTAACCCTTCCTCCTCCCCTGGGCGCCTTTGGAAGCCGACCATCTGGCTTGGAGTCTATTTGCATATTGTCTGGGCCTTAGCAAGCCAAGCAAGATGTCCCGGGGGTGCGTTTCAGGCCAGGCTGAGTGGCCCTTGCAGCCTGAGAAGGGAGCCATGAGTTCCACCTCTCCCCACCCCCAAATCCAGGCACAGGGACAATACAGGCTGCTGTGATGCAGCAGCCTCACCATGGTAACATGCTATCAAAAATGTAGGCGGGCCTGGAGTGGGGGGCAGGCAGAAGAGGGAGGGAGTGACCTCAGCAAATAGGAGCATCATGATAAATGAGCCAGCACTGGGCAGCAGACTCATCCCCCAGCCACCCCTCTGGGAGTCCATGACAGTGTCATCATGTGGATGACCCCAACATGACCACTATCCCTCCGTTATTCCCAAGCTTTCGAGAGTGGAGCAGAAGCCCCCTCTTTGAAGGGAGCCAGGACTATTCCCCAGGAGAATCCTGATTCTGTATCAGCAAGCCGGGACTGTCAGATATAGCCTATGGTCACTGGGCCAACCTCTTCCCAGTTCTTCCGTGTCCAAACACAAGCACAGCCCTGGCTGCTGAGGCTGGCTGATGCCTGGCTGATGGATGTGTCAGACTTCAATAGTTCTATCAAACAGCCACAAGATGTATGGGCTGGCGGCCACCAGACAGTGCCAAAATGGAGGCCAAGGGGATTCAGAGCCAAGGGGATGCCTCTGCAACTTTGGCCTTGGGGAAGAGTCCACCAAGAGTCCAAATGCAGCTGGAGGGAGGCAGCACCCTTCTTCCTCGCCCTGGGTACTACACATTGGCTTAGTTAAAAGGGAATTTTAGCCAGGCTGTGGTGACACACGCCTTTAATCTCAGCACTTGGGAGACAGAGGCAGGTGAATATCTGTGAGTGTGAGGCCAGCCTAATCTATAGAGCAAGTTCCAGGACAGCCAGGGCTACACGGAGAAACCATGTCACACAGGGGGAAATAGAATTTTAAATTGGGAAATGACAGTTTTAGTCCATGAACACTGCTTGTTGCCCTGTGGGATGTCAGAAACAGGACTAGTTTATCCACACTGCACCTTCACACCTCCTGGCCCTACCCAAGGCTAGATTCTGCCTGTGCATTGCAGTGTGAAGCTCACAGAGTGAAGCTTCCCTGTGTACTAGCAGCCCATTATTCCAGGGCTTTGTGTTCTAGGCAGGGTAGCTCAGGCCACATTCTCACCTTGCTTCAAAATAGCCTCAGAGCTTTGTCTCAGGGGCAGTCAAAGGCAGCTGACCCCTCTAAGACACTGACTCAGGACAAGCTCCCTGTGGCTTTAAATGCTACTTGTTTCTCTAGGACCTTTGTTCTCAAGTCATCTGTGAGAGCAGGACCTCCAGGAGTCTTAGAAACAATCTGAGTGAAGAGTGGTGGAGGTCCCAGGTACCACAGCCTTTGTAGATGTAGACCAATCCCAGTTTGCTACTGGTAACCCTGGAGACCACTGCCTCCGCATGCTGCACAAAGAAGCTGGTGGCCATCCCAGAGCCCATCCCAGGAGGCAGAACAGGAGAGGTCTTTGCAGCCCAGAACCTCTTCTTGCCTTGGCAAGGTGGCCACCTCCCAGGGTGATGCAGAAGTGGCTGAGTGAGCAAGGATTTGTCAGTGTCTGCTGGTGAGGAGCCTTGTCTCCCTCTGCTAGAGGAAATTAACTGATGTTATCGGCTCAGCCCTTGTTTTTCTCCCTCACAAAGGGAAATCTATGCAGACCCTGCCTGGGAGCAAAGCTGAGGCCTCCCTAGCTGGACTGGCAGGGGAGATAAAGGTGGCAGGGGCTCTTTGATGCCCTCTAAACAGCCTTGTCTCTGAATTCTTTTTTTTTTAAAAATCCTTTTAATTATGTGTGCATATGTGTGGGCATATGCATGTGTAAGTGCATAGAGAGTTTAGAAGAAGGTATTGATCCCTGGGAACTGGAGGCATAGGTGGCCATGAGCCACCCAGTGTGAGTGCTGGGAACTGAACTTGGTCCTCTGAAAGAACAATATCTCCCCTTCCCCACTAAGCCCTCTCTCCAGCTCCAGTCCCTGCTGTTTGTAGCTCCTCCCACTGCCTTCAGCTGTGCAGTGATGGCTTTCTCTGAAGACAGTCCTGATAGTCACTGGCCTCTCCTAATCAGGTTTCTGGCCCTGTGAGCCCCATGTTCATTTTCTTCTGTGCTGGGCAAGGCTTTGGGGCCTGGGAAAGAGTTGGCTTTGACCTTGGTTTGTTCTGTGCCTCCCTCTCTAGGGGACATCCGGAACCTCCTTGTCTGGATCAAGAAGAACTTGCTAAAAGAGCGGCCAGAGCTGTTCATCCAGGGAGAGAGTGTGTGAGTTCCCTTCCCCCGTTCCTGAGCAAGGCAGAGAGAGGGAAGGTTGTCTAAGCCTTTGGTTTCTGAACATCTTATCCTCTTGAGTCCCCTATTTTCTCAAACTCCTCTTAGGAAAGAGCTGTGTTCTAGTCTGTTTCTAGTTCTCTTATTACCACACTCGCCTGTTTGAGTTCTTACAAGCCTGTATGAAAAGAGCCTGGTAAATTTTCCCAAAAGTCTGCGTTACGCTTCTGGTTACTACCGAATACAGAAACCTAGGTGAGTTATTTGCTTCTCCTAGCCTCAGCTGTCCTCTGTACAGAAAGTACCAAGAAAGCCACGCTGGTGTAGGACAGTGGTCCCAGACCTTTCCTCGTGTGAGAAGATTCTTTATCAGTGCTGTCACTTGTGGCTGGTTGAACCCTCAAAGTTGGCCAGGGTGACCGAGAAGCTAAATTCTCCCTTTTACCTGGGTGTGGCGGCACACACTTTTAATACCAGCTCGTTGTGGTCAGAGACTGGTGGATCTCTGAAAGTTGTAGGCCAGTCTGGTCTACTACAGGGTTCTAGGACAGCCAGGGCTATATAGTAAGACCCTAAAAAACAAAAGAAAAGGCTGTGGGAGGATTGTCACGAGTTTGAGGATAGTCTGAGCTACATAGCAAGAATCTGTCTTAAAAGTCAAACCAGACTGAAGAGATGGCTGGCGGCTGAGAGCAAGTACTATTCTCTCAGAGGACTGAGTTTGATTCCCAGACCCACATCAGGTAGCTCACAACTGCCTGTCACCCTCCCTCCAGCTCTGACTCGTTCAGCCTCTGCTACACCTGCACTCACCTGTACACACATACACAGAATTTAAGATTAAATAAATATCACTAAAATATTCCATTTTCTCTTTGGTCCTTGAAATGGCTGTATGTGGTCAGTAGGTACAGTGTGAGACATCACAGAGCTGAGATTCCAGGTTACCACAGAACATACCACTCAGACACACAGCTCCCACCTATTCCAGCCTGTTAGCAAAAACCAAGTCATTCCACTTCTAAACAAGGATGGTCTCCTGCCAAGGAGACAGGCCATGAAACGGGGAGACTCTTTCGTCAGCCTGTCGGCTAGGACTGTTCTCCAGTCTCCAGTTTCTGGCCCAGCAGTCCTGGAAGCCACCTGCAAGGACACCAGTGCTCTCTGGACCATTGCCAATGCAACCCTGACTGGCTCTCAAGCATTTAAGCCACTGGCAGCCTTTTTTGACCCAGAAGAGCTGAGCGTGATTCCTCTAGAATAGGTTTCCTGGAGGCCTAGAAGCCAAAGCCTTCCTTTCCAGAGCCTAGGAGAGTAAGATTAGATACTGGTTACTAAGACATAGTGGCAGGCAAGCCATTTGTTATATCCCTCAGCGATCTTTGTGGGGCGGGCCTTATAACTGGCTCTGTGTTCACATGATGAAAGCTGATGCTCAGAGAAGTAAAATGCCTTGCCTGAGTCTGGGTGATGGGTGATGCTGACCCTTGCCCGTTTTCTTGAAGATGCCCTCAAGACCTTGACTGACCTGGTTTTCTGACTATGCAGACTATAGCCTCCACTTGGTGGGAAGTCGGGGTCCAGGAAAAGTTCCCCCACACTCCTGCATCCCACAGGCTCTGAGCCTCCTTCCTTCCACTTCCTGCCCCTCACTACCCTCTTTCCCACAGGCGGCCAGGAATTCTGGTGCTGATTAACGATGCCGACTGGGAACTGCTGGTCAGTACCTCTGGTGACACTCTTCCCTAGCCCAGGTCGGGGCTGGGAGATCTCTGTCTCGTTCATACCCCACCCCCCATGGGGCTCTTCCTGTCTTCCACCTCAAATAAGGAGGGATTGAATGGCCGCTGGGGAGGGAGGCAGGGAGTGTACCCATCCTGGAGATTTGAAGGTTGATGTGTAAGATCTCCATTTTTCTGGTGAGGTTTTTTTCATTCCTAAAATAGCCACCTTTACCTTTCTCTTCCCTGTTCCAACACATGGCAATGACCCAGACCATGCTCTGATGGTCCCTGTCCCTCTTTCCTACCCCAGGGGGAGCTGGACTACCAGCTGCAGGACCAGGACAGCATCCTCTTCATCTCCACACTGCACGGCGGCTGAGGGCTCCTCTGTGAGCCCAGGCACCTTTGTGAGGGGAGCACAGGACAACCACACCTCTCCTTGGGCCCTGCTTCCAGGTCCTCAGTCCCCTTGGCTGCCTCCTTCTCTGCTGTACCCCTGAGCTCCCTCTAGGCAGGGAAAAGAGGCCAGGTGCTAAAAATGAGCCTTTCTGGACAAGGCACGTGAGCAGGGAGGGAGAGCAGACGCCTGAGCCCAGCACTCCTTCCCGCAGAGGTGGGGGAGGGTGCTCCTGTAATATGTCAGGAGTGGAGGGGGCTCTATGCCCAGGTGACCCAGCTGCTTGCCACTCCTATGTCTTGGTATATCTAAGCACTGAGTGACTGCCTTGCCACTCCTGTGTCTTGGTATCTAAGTGTATCAAGTGTATCTAAGCACTGAGTGACTGCCTGAAAGGCATCTTCATGGGGAAGATGGATGGACTGGAGTAACTGATGAGAAGCCCCTCTCTTGCCAAAGATTAGAGGGGCCTCCGCCTCAGTTTCCCCATCTGGACACTGAAGACTCTGCTTGTCCCCCACTGATGTCATTATGGAACCCCAGCTGGGGTCCCCTATTCACTGCTCACCTCCCTCCCTCCACCCAGCAGCTGCTCTCCTAGCCACACCCCTCCCCCCAGCCCTTGACCCTGGCTGGCCTCCCCCCTACATAGGCTACCAGATGGGCTCCTGAGACACTCTCCAGACTGCCTACAACTCATTCTGCTAGGGAGAGAATGTAGGGAAGTAACCTAACCTTAGACAGCAGGCAGGGCCTCCATGTGTATATAACTCCTAGCTTCCTAAAACAAGCAAGGTTTGAATGTGCAGCACCTGGTAGATAGAGGATTGTGCTCCCCTTTCCTCCATCCCTTCTGGAAATCTGGGGACCTTGTGCCTACAGCAGCTGGCCTTGGGCAAATAAAGAGACTAGGTTTTTTACTAGCCTTGCTTGGAGCTTCATCCTTAGAAACTGGTGGTACCCTGTATTCCTCAAATCTATGGCTATGTTCTGGCCAAAGGCTCAGATGGCCTTCACCTGAAAGGCTCACACATGCACTGTTCCACAGAGAGGGTGTTTCAGTAGGGCCGTCTGGAGAAGAGAGTGTAGATCCTGATGATCAGTCCAGATCCTGAGCCATTCTCACCCACCGGTCTAAGCCTAGGCTTTGTTCTGCCAACTGCAGTCAGCAGTTCCAGAACCCAGAAGAGAGATGGCCTAAGTAAGACTGCTGAGCCCCGTGACTTCCATGACCTGCAAAAAAAAGCTTCATCTGACCCTAAGTGTTGCTCTATGTTAAATAAATGTCAGTAAGAATGGAATTCCTTTCCCCACATAGATAGAGTTTCTAATGTTGTGGACCATTGTTGGGGAGTGGAGAACATATGACCCCCTGGTTGGTGAGCTGTCCCCAGACACTGCCACAGAGCAGACCCTTGGGCTTGTGTGGGTGGGAGCAGCCATGTTGGGGTTACTGGTGAGAACTGGCTGGGTGCACCTGAAAGCCAGTGTTGGGTCCAAGAGCCTTGTCACCATCCTCAGTTTGTCATTTTTAGAGGGTCAGCCTGTCCCTGGTCCCTGCAGTACCTCCTGAGCTGAGCTACTGAGATAAGTTCTGGGATGCCTTCTGCAGCTGATGTGGGTAGGGGATTTCTCTGCTGCTGTGGCACCCCAGTTAATACTGAGAGTTCAGGAGGATAGGCTGAGGAAAACGGCTTTCCCCATTCGGGGTGCCAGTGCCTTCGCACAAATTGACCAGAGCCCGTTCATCCTGGTCCACTCCGGTCATTTTAGTTTCTGGCAGAAAGGAGTCAGAGGCAGGTGACTCGGCCCATCAGCGCCCAACAGCCTCCCTCCCATTGCAACTCATGGCCCTTGCTTTTGAGGAAATAAACAAGTCCCACTACCTCCGAAGATTTTTCTTTAATGAAAAGGATTCGTTCAAGTTCTTATTTTGAAAGCCGAGGCGGCTGCCCAGCGGGAGCGCATCATTCCTCAGCTTTTCCGTCTCTGGCAGCGGTGGGAGGCTCAGCCCATCAGTCGGTCCGGAGGAGCTTGTGGGAGGGGTTGGTTGACTGGTTTGGGATATACGGGTTGATTTCGGATTTTTTGTTGGTGTTGTTTGGGAGTACTGGTTAAGGGACAGGTTAGAACAAATTCTAAACGAGTTAGCGAACGAATTCTGCTGGCATCTGCCTTCACCCCCGACTAACTGCGGCTCTGGCCAAGAACTGACTGCAGGAACCACATTCGGGTCCTGCCGCCGTGTGCCAGCTTCGTTAAGGCTGAAATTTGAAAACGGGAAAACCGGTGCGATCAACTGGAGGACCCTGCAGCCGACATGGGTCACCCGCAGAGGATGAGGATGGCGGCGCTGGTCACAAGGACTAGTGTCCCTTCTTTGCGCGCCAATCTGAGGCCACTACGTGAAGGGACCTACCAGCTGCCGCCCCGGGGGTCTCCCAGCATGGAGCTCCTCTCTGCGAACCTCGTTTCTGTTGAGCCCGGAGCTCAACCACAGATGTCCAGCCACAATTCTCGGTTGGCCGCAGACTCGTACAAGAATTGCGTTTGGACAATCAGTGGCGAAGCCCCTGAGTTCAGGACCCCGATTTCCTGCGGGGTTCTGCCTGGCTCCTTAAAAGCGCACACCAGATCTTGGGAGCTCCGCGTCGGAATACCTTGCAGAAGCTCATCAGTCGCAGCTCATCCCGCGGTAAGGTGGACGAGCCGGCATGCAGATCCCAGCCCTGCACGGGCATCCCCATCGTCCCCAGCTTGTTTCCTTCCATCGTGGCCAAGGGTCCCTAGAGTAACCCGCGTTGTGTCTCTGGGCCACCCCAGTTTGGAGGAATATCCTGTCAGGCCCAGGGAACCCTGACACCCCTCTCCCTGCCCCCAGACTAGGCTCTCCGGGAATCCAGAAAACGGGCCCGAGGCCGGTGGCTTCTCTGAGCCTGGGGTCTAGGGTGCTGGACTCACGGGGGCCCCCTCCCCCGCCCGGCCCCGCGCACGCACCGGCTCGGGCGCTCTCTGCTTCCTTGTGGCTGAGTCGCTGGTGGCGGTAGCCCGGGCGGCGGGGAGCGCCGGAATGCGCCGCCGGGTCACCTGCAGCTCCCAGGGAGCCTGACCGGGAGCCGGCTGCTGGCGAGGCGCAGGGCTGAACCCGAGCGGGCGCCTCTGGCGGCTCAGGGCCGGGGCGGGCTTTTAGTGGGCCGCTCCAACAATACGGGCCTGGCGCGGAGAAAGGGGCTCGGCTGCAATTGGTACTGGATTTGAATAACGCCACGGGGCCATCAATGGTCATTGTGTCGACGGGTAATGAATCTCCGCTGTCTCTCGGGCTGGCCAGGCAGCTGCAACCTGCGCTCAGGCAGCTCTTAAAGACATAGCATGCCCCTCCCTGGGGGCCGCCCCCCCCTGCACCGGCCGGACCCTGTGCCCTCCCACCCCCACTCAGCACCCTCCACTCCCAATGCTCCGCCTGCTCCCTCAGCCTGACCCTTTTGCCGGTGGCCCCCTCCCTCCAGGGCCAGGCACCCACATCTCGGTCCTGGACTCTGAACCTGAATCTCTCTGAGATTGACTAACTCCCCAAGAGTGCCCAAAGGACCCCAGAATCTTTTAAGACCCAAGCTGCCTCCCAGCTACATCTTTATCTGTGGTTTCCGGAGTCCTCGCTCCTTAAAGCTCTTTCCCAGGGGTTTCTTTGGAATGTAAGGGGTACCAGTCTGGAGGTCAGAGGGTCACCCCCACCCCAGAACACTCGTCTGAAGAATAAGGGGGAAGCGTGTAGTCCCAACCAACAGACTGAGGTTGCAGTCTCCAGAAACCACACCCCCAAGAGGGATCTGAAGGCTGCTCCTTCCCCCTCCCCAAGGACAAGGGCTTGATTCCCAGGCTCCTGGGCTTCTAGCAGCAGCCTTGGTGAGGGAAGCAGGTGGGTGTGAAGAAAGGACGGGCAGTCTGCTACTGCTTGTCTCCTGCGGCTTCCTTCGGGTGACCCACCTGTCCAGAGCTTCGGGAGCTCCATGGAAGGTCTGCGTGTACCCTGAGCAGGTCTGATACAGCAAAGGGCCAGTCTGTTATCCCCAGAGTTCAGCTTCACTGGCTTCCCCCAGTGAGTGTCACACCCCAGAGGAGACCGAGGGAGTGGTGTCTCCATGCATCCTGCCTTCTGTCCACCCCAGGGGTTCCTCGAGTGCATCCTACCTCCTCCATGGCACACTCTGCACTTTTACCCTGAAACAGTCTCATGTCCTCACTCTCTGGGCAGCCCTGCCATATGCCCAGCTGCCCTGTGAATGTGGATTTGCCTGCTTCTCCTCACTAGTGCAGGAAGTGAGTTCGGTGGATCTTTGTGGCTCTGGAACTTATCTCCTACAGTGCCCTCCCTCAAGCACCCATTGAATGTGTGTAGATGTTTGCATGGCCTATGACTGAGTCACCTACACAGACTTCTGGAGTTCTAACAAAAGTTAGCAAACTGACTCCTGGCTCTATAAAGGACGGAGCCCTGTTAGCTACTATCTCAACTCTGGTTGCTGACAGTAGGTGTACCATGTGCCAGGCACGAAGTGCCTGTAGTCTTTGCTACTCAGGGGCAGCAGCTGAATTAAAGCGTTCTAGACCAACCGAGGTAATAAGCAAAACTCCACCTCAGGTAATATATGAGTGATTAAGAAAGGCAGCAGCATCTTGCTGTGTTCTGGCAACATCATGGGAAGCAGCTATATGATCAACTCTATTTTACAGATAAAGAAACAGACCTATGACTAGGGGCCCACTGGGAGGTGATGGAAACAGGGTTGGAACCTAAGATTGTCCAACCTATCGCAAACAATTTCCTAGTCTTTATGTCCTTAGCAGATAGGTGCAGAAGGCAGGCACAAGTGTACAGAAAGCGGTGGTTTCTAGCAGACACTGCTTAAATTATTGTCCACCGTGGTCTGGTGTGAACACAGCCTGGGTGGATTGGGCATGAAGCTGCAGGGATGGAGGGATGGAAAGCAGGGAAAGGCATTCCCTCCTGCCACCTCTTCCCGCAGCACTACTGGTTTGATTTGTAGTCCTAGGGATCAGGTCAAGAGCCTTGAGCGAGTGCTCCTGCCCAGCCCTCAGGGAACGAGGAGCCAGAGAAAATCCTGCCTACCCCATGGTAGTCAGACAGCAAAGGATAGGCGTTCCCAAAGGAGGTAGCCCAGTGTACAGCCGAGGCAGGTCATAGAGAATGAAGGTCAGAGAAAGTAAGTTGAGGATGGGGTGGGTAAAGATGGACAGACACTGCAGGGGCAGTTCCAGCAGCTTCAAAGCCAGCACGCAGGAAAGCTCATGGCAAGTTCTGAGTAGAGACGGGATTCCCAGTGTCGGAGCTCAGAGGATTTCAGATAGCCCACCCCGCCAAGCCTGGTGGAACCTTGGAAGGATCTGTGGTTTTACCCTAAACGCCACGCCACGGGGATCCTGAAAGACCCTCAACAGACAAGTGCACATTTGTTTACATGTTAGATTTGCTGGGGATGAAGTGGGGAGGGGGAAAGGGAAGTTGAATGATCTGTTCCCGAGCTGCCTGTGATCTGCTGGGGAAAGCTGGGGGAGTAGAGCAGGGTCTGCTAAGTTCATGGCAGTCTGCACTGACACAGTGAGCTCCTGGTGTGGTCATTGACAGCTAAGAGAGGAGAAAGGTTGCTGTCTAGCCGACCCAGTGATAGGAGCCGAGCCAGGTGGAAACACTCCCAAGTGTTGGCAGATTTCTCTGGGATTATAGAAGGCAGAGATTCATTCCAACAGGAAGATACGAGAAAACTTTTGGGAGAAACAGCCTTACCGTGGGCGGGTGAACTCTTAGGAACTGAAGCATGGTTAGGACCTGTGGGCTCCTTATACCTGCTCTCTGTGGTACTGAGAAAATCCAAACACATGGCGCCTGCTGCCAATGAGGAAG